AGATCATCTGCCAAAATCAGTCTTATCTTGGCAAGTATGCGACTGATTTTTTGCAAATAACATACCCTCTAAGAAAATAAGGGTGGGTGGGCGGGGCTAGCTACTTGTCAAGATAAGGCTGATTTTGGCAGATGACCCAATCTTCTAAGAAAATAAAGGGTGGGTGGGTGGGGCTAGTTCTTGTCAAGATGAGACTGATTTTGGCAGATGACTTATTCTTCTAAGAAAATAAAGGCTGGGTCGGTGGGGCTAGTACTTGCTAAAATTAAAAAAACTTAAAAACTACTCTTCTAAGATAAGGTACTAGCCCCGCCCACCCACCCTTTATTTTCTTAGAAGAGTAGGTCATCTGCCAAAATCAGTCTTATCTTGGCAAGTATGCGACTGATTTTTTGCAAATGACATATCCTCTAAGACAATAAGGGTGGGTGGGCGGGGCTAGCTACTTGTCAAGATAAGGCTGATTTTGGCAGATGACCCAATCTTCTAAGAAAATAAAGGGTGGGTGGGCGGGGGGCTAGTACTTGCTAAGATAAGACTTCAACCTTTTTTCCAGAATTAGTTAATTAATTCAGGGCATTGAAATATCACAATTTTTAGAAATTTCAAAAAATTCAATACGCGTCATTTTTGCAAGTAGGTGCTTGTTTTCAAGGTCAGTTCGGATTGCAGAGTTTTTGTTCGGATTAAAGAGATATCGACTTCAACTATCGTCTCTTCGGATTACTGGATGTTCGGATAATCGTGGGTTCGAATTATGGAAGTTATACTGTATTCAAATTTTGCAGAAAATATCGTTTATTTAAAAAATGACGCTTCTTCCATTGCATTAGGAGCCGTATTCATTTCTTTTTAATAATATAATTTCAGTAATATATCATTTATGATTATTTTACATGAGACTAAAATGCAAAAAGAGATCGCTTAGAATGAGAGCGCAGCGAGCATGTGTAGGTGTTATTTAAAATAATTCACTGTCGTCCCTGGGAAGCTAAACAAAAAATGTATTAATCAAGTACAAAAAAGTGTACTTCGAAAACAATTGTGATTACTAATGATGAGAAGACCCTAATGTGCTCACTGCGCTCGTATTCTAAGGGTGAGTTTCCGGAAATCTGCAAAATTATCATTATAAATGATCCCAAACAATTTCGCTAACACTTTTTTGAATATCTCTGAAACTATATTCTAAAGAAAGAGCTTTTAGAAGGCGAGCGCAGCGAGCACATTCAGGTTTTATTTAAAAAATTAGTCCAAATTTATAGAATTTTCAGCAAAATGTTTTGAGACGTCATCCATTTTGATTAAAGATCTACCATGCTTATGACAACCTTAAAACGTTTGTAAAATTTTAGAGTATTCGGTAACACGGATTCATAAACTACACGTAAGGGTATGTTTTTTATAAAATTTAAAGTGCATTTACTGTGTACAATTTTGAAGTGAAGTTATTATATTGTTAGTAGGATGATTAGATAGGCATAAACGGTTAAATAAATGATCTATATCTAGAGGACTGTAAACACGACTCGACAAACAAAAATTCAGCTTTCGAAAAATACAGTTTTTTGACGACAGAAATTGAATATTGCCATTCTCCATAAATCTATTGGCCATACCGAGAATAAATTTGTCTTCAAGAGTCAACATTCTTCCGCAACTTTTGTGATTTATTAGAGAAAAATTGGTCTAAAGAGTTTAGACAGTACTTCCCTCGCTGTCGGAAACTTGACGACTGCATGCCTATTGTGTTTTTTTTCTCATTACATTTTTGTAGTGGGAATTTAAAAAAAAATTGCGATGACGTCATCAACATTTTTGCAAGGACACGTATATCAGTTGGGATAGATGTAGTGTAATACTAAGAATAAAATTATTATATTCTCAAATTTTCGGGAAAATGAATTGGGTCGTTTGAATATTGATTTGTAATAATCAATAAAATAACGAAACAATTTACTCACGTATACCTACGTATCAGAGGCAACTGAAAATCGTGTATGTATAAACATTGTTAATTTAAGATGACAGGCGTAACAGCATACGTGAGAGCCAAACACAGAAACTGTAAACAAAACGACCGTCGGTTTTATTGCTTCGACTTCCGCTTATTATATAAAACATTGGGTTTTATTTTAATTCTTGACGGTGAAATTCACAATTGGTTGATTATAAACATGTCTATTTCACATTCGCGGAATCAAGTGAACGCATAAAACAAATGCAGGTCTGTAATGTTAAAGTCGATGTAAATAAGCGTGCTACCCTTAGTTTTTCCTTTAACAATTTTGTGTCTACCAAATTGGGTTGGTTGGGGTGTAATACTAATAATAAGTGTTGCCTTTAATTTAATCAATACAATAAATTGACTTCATTAATTTTTTTGAACCACCTCTTAAGAAAATCTAAAAAATATGAATGGAATGATAAATCACAAGTACAAACTCATCATATTTTTTGCATTTTAGATAGGATTTATTCAGCAAAATTTAAGGGTGACGTCATCAATTTTTTTAGGAGGGATGAACAAATACATTTTGAACAAAAGTTTACCATGCTTATAATAACTTTAAAATATTCCCAAGATTTCAAAGCATTCGGTTTTGTAATTCCTGATTAAATCGATAAAATAAATTCACGCCTTCATTAATTTTTTTGAGTCACCCTGCATATGCAAATCCAAAAATATGAATGGAATGATAAATCACAAGTACAGACTCATCATATTTTGTACATTTTAGATACGATTTATTCGGAAAACTTTTGAGCTGACGTCATCAGTTTTTTGTAGAAGATAACCAAATATATTTTGACTAAAAATTTATTATGCTCTTTATAACCTTAAAACATCTGCAAGATTTCAAAGCATTCGGTTTTGTAGTTCCTGATTAAATCAATAAAATAAATTTACGCATTCATTAATTTTTTTGAGTCACTCTGTATATGCAAATCCAAAAAATATGAATGGAGTGATAAATGACAAGTACAGGCTCATCATATTTTGTACATTTTAGATATGATTTATTCGGCAAACTTTCGAGCTGACGTCATCAAGTTTTTGGAGGGGATAAGCAAATATATTTTGACTAAACATTTATTATGCTCTTTATGACCTTAAAACATCTGCAAGATTTCAGAGCATTCGGTTTTGTAGTTCCTGATTAAATCAATAAAATATATTTACGCATTCATTAATTTTTTTGAGTCACCCTGTATATGCAAATCCAAAAAATATTAATGGAGTGATAGTTCACAAGTACAGACTCATCATATTTTGTACATTTTAGATATGATTTATTCCACAAACTTTTGAGCTGACGTCATCAAGTTTTTGGAGGGGATAAGCAAATATTTTTTGACTAAAGATTTATGATGCTCTTTATAGCCTTAAAACATCTGCAACATTTCAAAGCATTCTGGTTAGCAGATTAAAAATTAAATTTCAAAATGTTTTATAATTTTGATTTTTTTTCCAAAAATCTGGACGTTTCGGGTGAAAAGTCGATTCAGAGTTGTAAACTACATGTGTAGGACTATGTTATTTTATACAATTGAAAACCCATTTACTATGTACAATTTTGAAGTGACGTCATCGCTTTAGTGGTGGGGATGATTCAACAAATTTTGATTAGCGTTTTACCATCTACATGATATTCTTAATATAAGTACAAAATTTCACAACAATCGGTCGAGTACTTTCGGAGATTATCTGTCTAATAAAAATCCGTGACAACAGACGGACAGACGGACGGACAGACGGACAGACAGACGGAAATGGGAGACCTATTTCTTCGTCTTCTAGGGGTCATGAAAGATCGAGAAAACGTAAAAGTAGAGAGTCGGCCGACGGACTCGATTACAATACTTCCTTTGCTTACGCTCGGGAAGTAAAAAAGGTTAAAGTTTAACCCAACGTTTGACAACTAATTGACAAATTATTAATTTTGCAGAAAGTCAGATTAATACAAATCATTTATTAACACCCTAGAGAAAATTTTCAATGTTAACCCATGGTTACATAGTGTGCAGTGTGTTGTTTAATCTATTTATAGCGAAAAGGTTATCAAAACAACTTTTATAATTAAATTTTAAACTTAATCATAGAAATTAGACCACGGGCTTGTTTACAATTTGATATGTCATGGATCAATTCCCTAACAATGTTCGTTCCCTTAAAAAAATCGATGACGTCAACTCAAAAAATAAAGAATCCCATCAAGCAATGCTGCATTAAATAACAAACCTGACCCAAAGTTAATAAATTTAATCTTAACTTTGTATATTTTCTTATCTTACTACTAATCGTAATTAATTAATTAAAACCTACACAGGGCCAAAGAAAAAGGAAATTTAAAACAACTGTCTTGCGCAGGCGCGACAGTCATTCAAAAAGTTACTGATAAATTCCCTAAATTTGTTTGGAAAGTTTCCACAAGTTTTCGAATGTATTACCTATATTTCCAAATAATCGTAATTTTTGGCCTGGAATGTGGTTTAGGGTCATTAAGGTACATGCTCGTTTTAAAATAACGATTTTTATCTACTTCATTCTAAATCGCTACAGCACTGGACTGAGTAAAAGAAAATTCGCAAGTATCACACTAACGTATTAATACATTTTAATACTTTTACTAAAATCGATTCCACACAATGTGGTGATCAAGCAAATCTAATTCAGTAATGTAGTGTGATTTCGCAATTCCGATGCACTGGAATGCAACAGGCAGCACAAAATGGAACAATGCACCGGTTGCACATCCACGTGTCTTTTCGCATTAACACTCCAAGAAATGGAATTCTTCTACTTAAATGTGTTGTGTTTGTTTTATATAAAGATTGCTTCTGTTAAGTTTGTTATAATACGATAACGCAATCACTCCAATTTTGCTACACTGCAGTAAATGAGTTCAAATTATGATTAAATAGTAATGTTATCACAAGAGTATCAATGGTAATTAATTTAGGAAATTCACAATTAACAATGACATGTTTACTTACAGATTCTTGCGTCCGAACACTCACTTCTTCCGCCACTTCACCTCGACTGATTTCTGTTGTTGGAACGTGTTTAACTTGCGCTGGATTGTTGTTTATGTGGATGGGGATGACCGCGAACAAGGATTATTGGCTGTTTGCTCCGGCGGGACTTCTTTCAGGTTTGAAATTTGAATGTTATTTCAGCATTTTTGTAACAAAACCACAACTCGAGCGTAGGCAGGGATGTTGTCTTTTGTAACCATGGAAACCGCGGCCTTCAGAAGAGCAACTAGATAACTAGATAACTAGATTAACTTTGATTTAATTAGGGATTTATGGTTTAAAGCTGTCATTCGAAAAAATATATACCGTTAATTTGGTTGGCAACCGATTTCGTAATGCAAAGATCCCTATGAAAAATGAAATTTATCATATCAGTGTGTTTCATCAATACTACAAACATTTTACTGATTTGAATTTTAATTTTGTATTAGTCATTAAGTATTAAAAAAAAATAATTACTTGTGACCAATTTAATGAAGCGTTTGGCGACAGCTGATTGGCGGAGAGTCGGTCACATGATAGTTAAATGTATTAAAAATTTAACAGCAGTTTTAGCGTTTTGTAAATGTACTCTTAGTTTTCGTTTGTTTACCAACAATTAATTGTCTTGAAAATAAACTATTTGTAATAAAATAAAACTGCGACACAATCGACTCTAAAACAAGTTTAGAAATCTTCTGACGAAATTCTTTCATTTATTATGCTTTTCTGCATAATCCAATAAGTACAACATTTTAGTAAATTTTACATAAAGTCGCACTATCGAACAAACGACATCGTTAATATATAATTAATGATTTGTGTTTTCTTGTATATGTATATACTTATCGAAATTAACATACTTATCCCTACCAGAAACTTAATGATGTCATATTTAGCAATTATTAATTAATTACATGGAACATTAGTGTTCAAAAGTTATTACTCAGGAACTAAAAAACAACCATGTGGGTCACATTTCTTCAAGCTAGCAATACAATAAATTTAATTTCGACAGGTCTGGTAACCAGATGTGGGTGCAAAGGTCCCTTTCTTGTTTATTACGGTTCTTTCTTAGAAGGAAGTAATTTGGTCAAGGGTTTTGCCAGCACAGACTCCCTTTTTCGAACATGGGTGTGCTAGACGTGAAAATACACCCATATCTGGCTACCTGAAACGAGATTTAAAACCGAGCAGTAAAATTGTCAATCGGAGGTTAAGCCGTTTCACTTTAATCTGGGTAGTTGTTAATATTCTTCTCGGAATTTATTCAGTTGCTTTAAGAACAATGCCATAAACCCCCAAACCCCTACGGCTCGAGATTTATTATTAGGGTTATGCTAATGAAATTTCTAGAACACATATTCTATGAATTAGACATTTTAAGCGGAAAGTTTGGATTCGCAGAACTCTTGATCCTTTCGGACAAGGAAGCATTGTTAGACTAATGAGCGGTTTAGAGAGGGTTTTTGGAAACTGAAATACAATGGTCACTATTTGAGTTCCAAGTAACTGGATACCTGAAACTAATATTTAAGGTGATGTTATCCGTTTAGTTTTCAGTGAATTTACAGTAGATTTTGTTTCACAAATACTAGACAACTAGTTGGAAACTGAACCCAATTTTTTTTTTACAATATCTTTGATATGCTATTAGTGTCCGGAACTTATAAAATTGGAGAAAAAATGACCTGTTTTGCTCTAATAAAATCGCAAATATGCTGAAAATCACACTAATATTAGGTCCGACTGTGCCGACCATAGTTATAAAATTCACATTAAAGTAAGTCATGGACATTCTTTGAAGTGTTTACTATGATATTTAAAAAAAAATAAAAAATTCGCGATTTATAAAACTTCATAATTTTGATTTAAAACTGATCATGTTTGAAGCTTTATTTTATTCGTTCCATTTGCTGTCTCTTACTGCGGTCTCTCTCGGATTGGGGTCTAACACCCACCGAACGTTCTTGGACCGATGGGATAATTTATTACTTCCGACATGTTTTCGGTGACAAATTTAATCTTTGCATAAATTTACTTCAGTGTAGTTAGTGAACTCGTTGTAACCATTGAAATATATAAAGAGTAAATTTTGAAATGGGACGAAAGTCGAAGATTCCACTTTCAAAGCCACGAAAAAGTCGAAAAAACTTTTATCAGAATTATTATGTCAAAAACCTACTAAAACTACAAACAAAAAATGCAGTTTAATCATTTTTTGATTAGTTTTAGTATTATTATGCCTTTATTTCCTAATTTCTGTACATATAAATATTATTGTTTTTTAGACCCGCCTCTGTTTTTATACACTTACATAAAGTGTAAGTCAATGTTACTAATAGAAATTTTATTATTGTTACTTTATATAATCACCAATCCTATTGTTTCTCGGCTTTTTGTCACAGATCAAAGGGTATTACCTGAAAGAATTTTATTTTGTTGAATAAAAGATTACCATAAACCTTATAATTAGCCGGATAACGATTCAGTATACACAGGTAATTTCTATACCTCTTTAGTTTGAACTTAGCCGATACATTGATTAAATACATATAGATAGACCCATGCTATTGTTTGGAGCGAACAGGCCAACGGCCGGCGAACAAGAGATGGCGCACCAACGGTCGGCCGTCAAACGCCGGCGAAAAGCTTGGACACCAATCACGCGCATAGGTAACACAAATCACACTAATAATATATTTAATAAATCTACCACTCGATAGAGGGCGACGAAAAAGTGTGTAAAAATCTCATAGTTAGCATTTAAATAATTTGCAACGTTGCCAGATGAGCCTAACACAAATTTGCCGTTATTTCTAGCCAAGTAGGATTTATTTCGTTTAAAAGTTTCTGATAAAGAAATGGGATTATTATAATGAATAAAAATAAATAAAACAAACAAATTATTAAGTACTTGTTATTTTAAATACTTGTTAGTGCTAACATTATTATAAATACGGTCCGGTAACTCAAATTTTATAGAAAGAGTGAGATGTTTCAGGACGAGGCGACCGTAGGGAGCCGAGTTTTTAATTTCGAAACGAGTTCTGCGAAAAGAGTTATCGGAGGTATGTCGTTATGGATTTTATTTCATACTGTCAACATATTTTTTTTGTTCGATAAAATAATTACTATTTTGGAAAAAGTTCAAATCAAGTCACTTTTTCTGACATCGTTAGCAACCGCTGTTTGGCTAATGTTTTAATTTGTTTATTCGTGCAAATCAGCATCAAATGTTTAAACTAAAATTTATTAGTCTAGAGACGGACAGATATATACTAAAGACAAAACATATCCATTCATATATGTCTTAAAAAACGGGTAACATATGCCGCATAAACTAAAAAATAAGACATTTTCTTTCACATTTTATATTGTAAATGCAATTAAGTATATCGATAACTCGCTACTGAAAATTTATTGAAATATAATTTCTGCAAAAAAAAGATTGTTGTGGTTTTATGGTTTATTGACATAGTTTACTTATTTAAAATGAATATTTTTCATACATAGCACAAGTTCTTGATATTATTTATTTTAATTTCAAATAATAATTGTGTTTCCTTTAATTTTAACCAAGAAAATTTTTCGGTTATTATCCAACATACTTTTGTACATTAAGAAACTCCATTCCACGTCGCGGGACGTTACAGAACAATATTTAAGTAAATAAGCTTCTCCAAAAAGAAGTCGTTTTTATGTGTTTTAAAACTCACTCTTTTATCTCCGGACTTTCGGCTTTTTAATGTTTCACTTCGACACAAGAATATAAACAGTGGAAAAATGGAACAGTTTTAAAAACTGTTCATCTATTTGTTCTGTCTTGCAGCGAGAAAGGAATATAGCATATTGTACCCACATTTCATAGTAAAAATATGGATCCGGTTTAAAATTTTACCTACCTACTTAATTACGTTAACAAACTAAAATTTTCATTGAAGAGACAGGCTGTTCTAGGAAACTTTATTACAAATCTCTTCATTTACGAGCTGCTGAAGGACCGCCTGTCTCATTGATAATTCTTACCTACTTCAGTTCTTACCTGGCTTGTACTTAAGAATGAAGCGAAAAATGTTCCAACAATAAAAACCAAAATGTACAGACTGGAAATATAGTAAATGGGGTAGTACCTACATACAAACGTATGCGTAATAGTTCGTTAGACATTAGGTATTTATCAAAATTAACCAAATCTCTTAGTTTACGCACTATTGGACGAGCACTCCTTAAAACGGTCAGAATACTTAATCGCATTATTCCATTCACACCTACCTTAAACTTTGCCAGATGAACCTAACACAAATTTGCGGATATTTCTCGTCAACCTGGTAATATTTGATTTTGAAGTTTCTAGAAGTATCTCAATGGGAATATTATAATGGACAAATAAAACAAACAAATTATTGTTATTATTATTTGTTGTTTTAATCCATTAGACGCTTATAGGCTATCGCATACTTTTCTTGAAAAATCGGTAATAAATTCAGTGAAGCATCTTTGCCCCTTAATTCCTATGGGTAAATTGGGATTTTGAATAGAGATCGCAGAAACATTTTTTATGGTTTTATGGTTTATTTACATAATTTACTTATTTACAATGAATGTTTTTAATATATAATACAAGTTCTTGATATTATTTATTTTTATTACAATTAATAATCTTGTGTTATTTTTCATTTTCAACAAGAAAATTTTGTCGCTTATTATCTAACATATTTTTATACAATGAGAAACACCATATGTTTCACATCACAGGACGTTGTAGGAAAATACTTAAGTAAATAAGCTTTTGTTATTTCACTTCGACGCAAGAACCGTTTCAAAGAAAACAAACAGTGAAAAAGCGGGACAGATTCACAAAGTTTTCTGTTCTTTTTTTCTTCGGTTTTGCAGTGGGTGGGAAATATGGTGTATTGTACATTTTACAATAAAAATATCGATTTCAGGCAAATTTCCGCACCACCAATGAGGTATTGCCACGGCGCGTTTTTTTTTTTGTTTTAGCAGTGCTATCCCCAATAGGCCTAATGCACTACTTGCCGATATTGATTCAGATAATTATCCGCTGAATTAAGACATGATACTGGAAAACTGACACAAATAAACCACTCAATTTACAAAAACTGCAGCTTAA